AGTTTTATCATCCACAACCTGTGTCCTTCATGACATTATTGTGTACTTGTGTACTGCAGTTAGACATTTTAAATCATTACAGTTATCAATTTCAGATTTCCATACTACTTTGCTCTCTCTGGCACTTTTGAATTGCCTTGCAGCATGAAAAAAGCAACAAGATCCAGACTGTGTGCAAAAAAAGAGCACAGCTTAAAATACCACACCATCTCAGCAAAGATATTTGATGCCTGATGTTCCTTAATGAAACATCTTGCTCACATCAGAGCATCCTATTAAATTCCACTCATACAGGGAGACAGAGAAAGAGCAGAAGCCAGAGCAAGGGAGTACTGCCCTTTGTGTGCATGTGTGGGAGTGTGTGAGAGAGTGAGAGAGGGAGAAAAGGTGGGAATGAAACATCACTGGGTTTAAGCACATTCTTCAGATCATGTAAAAGAAAGAAAAAGAACCACACCTCAAAAGTAATTTATTAAACATTTTCATAGACTAGAGCATAAACAGTATCTATTTACATCACAGTTTAAAATTGAAATTCACTTTTGCAAAGAATCCAGTTGGTGTTTGCAGTAGTGAAGTAGACTAATATCACTTCAAATCCAACAGCCACACAAACAGCTAACCAGCCTCTGGGATCAGCATTAAGCCATTGCTTAATACCATCTGTGATTTCAGCAGTGCTGACATTAAAAGAAATAAAAAGATTTTTAAAAAGTGTGCAAACTGTGCTAAAAGCTAATAATGTTAGCAAGATAACTAGTTTAACATTTTGAGGTGAAAGACATGGATGAACACTAGGGGTGTAAATCACCACTCTCATTACAATACGATCCTATATCGATTCTTTTTGCCAGTGATCCGATGTTTGCCGATACTTAAAAATATGCTATTTGCTATTTTAATTCGATTTGATTCAGGGGCCTGCAATTGATATTAAGTGATATTATCTGCCTATTTCACACAATTATATTTTTATTAACTAAGATATAACAGACATATAATTTTAAAAATTTGAGTTCATCTGTTCACTTTCAAGTGTTATTTAAATTCAACTAAGGGCCAATGATGACATTTCAATTCAACATTAACTTTGATATAGGAAGCCCTTACATCTTCACACAGACAAAAAACTGGAAAAACATACTTGCTACACTCCAGTAGGTGTCAGGTTTGCTCGGCCGCTCTACCTCCCTCACCTTTCTTACTGTCTCTTGCCCATTAACACTAATCACGTTCACCTGTTCCTCACTCCCTTATCACCAGCTGCACTTGATTAGGTTGCTCACTATATTACCTGGTTTCACTCCTCAGTCACTTGCCAGTTCGTTCTTGTCTCTAGGCCATTTTTTCTCCGTGCTGTCTCTTTTTTTTTTTGTATATTATTATTCCCTAGCCAGCTACTGTTTTGTGTTCCCCCCATGGACTGTTCCTTCGGACCGTGGCTCCACTCTCCCCTCCCAGGCAGGTCAATGCTCAGTCGCCTATCTGTTCCACTATTGCCTTCATCTTTCTGTCTCCACCTTCAGTAGCCACCATCACCACCGACCAGCCCAGGAGTGACCCAGCCTACGCAGCTCGGCCCAGCTCTCCATCTCCTCGCCTCCTACTGTTGGTCAAACACCCGGCTACTACTCATCGACAGGACTACGCACTATTTCCCTCTGTGTATTGTTACTCTCATCATCACTGTACATAATAAATCACTGCTTGCACCGAAGTGGGCTACCTGGGTCTGCCTCTTTCTTGTTCGCTCACTGACAGGTGCGAACAGCACATAACAAACATTGCATGGAGGTCAGTGTCAGTATGGACTGAATGGATCAAACATTTCAGTAGCTTATGCGCCAGTCTCACCTTACTTTTATAGTGAATTCCCAGCATAGATGTGATTCCCAGTCTCAGAATGCTAAGTGCCCCGCCTGCCTCTTGTCCAGTTTGAAAAGAACAGTGCTTCATCAGAAATACGAACATACTATGTAGCTGGCTGTCAAAATAAAAGCACACAAAACATGGATGTTTACATTTTGCATCAATGTCATCGCATCGTGGGGTGTTTGATCAATGGATCAATCCAGATCGATCGATCGTTACATACCTAGTGACCACTAGTTTAGATGTTAGCTTTTTTTCAACATTTGCATTATCAGTCATAAATTGTTAAACTGCTAAAACAGTTCTTGCATCAAAGGTTGTGTGTGTGTGTGTGTGTGTGTGTGTGTATACATTTTCATGTGTATGAGCATTTAAAAGCATCTGACTCTTTGAAAGAACACTGTGCTATAAGAAAGACAAAAGTGAGCAGTGAAAGTGCAGCATAGACATCCAATCACTGTTAGCTGAACTACAGTGGAATGAAAGAGAGGAGGAGGCTTTTATGGTGTTAAATGTGTGTGTTAAAAGGAGTGTGTGGGAAAGAGAGACAGACATACAGAAAGATAGAAAATGTGTGTTAGTGTGTGCCAGTCTTTGTTCATCTGTAGGTGTGTGAGTTGTGTTGGCTGCAGTCAGAGAGCATTTGCAAAATGGCAGTCATGAAGCTAATTGTGATAGAGGTAACTCATCACATTGTCACCTTAACAAATGCATTAACACACACATACACAGACATATCAATGGTTGCACATTACTAAAGGGGTTCTGGAAAATACACTTAACCCTACAAACCTACTCTAATGTATTAATATTATGCATGCCATTTAATACAGTTTTATTGATGCCGGAGTTGCAAAAATAAAAACTTCTGCATTTTGTCTCCAGTGACCAGCTTAACCTACTGATAAAAGAGCTAAATGAGGCTATTTTCAGAGCAGTACAACAGATTATCTCTAACATTAACACTGAATAACTGGTTAATCCCTGGTGATGACTGAACTGTTTGCAGATTTTTGGCCAGAAGAGCACAGCTCAGAGCCACAGGTGCAGCACAGCAGTGCTGAGACACACCAGATCACTTAGCAACCACTTTGCCTTATTACCCAGAAGCCACCAGGGTCCTGTTAGTGTATTAGCAGGGTATTCAGTTCTTTTCATTAGTGCCCCTGGCTCATATCTGCTTTTCACCTGGGTCACAGATGAAATGATTTTTCCCCCAAAAGAGAAGATCAGATTGCATGTGAGTTTTTGTTCTTTTTTTTTTTTTGGTCGAGCTCTGATATTTTAAGTCTTGTGCATTTATCATTGTAGTTCATTGACATTTTTTCTTCATTGTTCATCTCTTTGGCTATCTATTTTTGCTGTACAGTAAGGTATACTGTTTGTGTTATCTTTCATGGCAGTATGAAAACCTTCTGCTGACCGTGACAGCTAAGTCCAACTCAGTCCAGTTCAGCTCTGAGCAGACGTTGAATATTACTAAACTGCATTACTAACACATTTGATTCAACGCATTAATGTCTAATAATTACTAATATCTAACAAGCTTCATTTTCCAAAAATGTATAGATAAAAAAACACAACAAAAACAGAAATCACTGTTTCATGCAGCACTAGCAGGGGCCGGTTCAAGAAGGAGGTTTTGTTGAAACTCTGAGTTTGTTAACCCCGAAATGAGGAAAAAACTGAGTTTTCGGTTTCAGAAACGGAGGTAACTTAAACCCGTGAAAGCGGGGTAAGTTAAACCCGTTTCACAAAGAGAGGTAATCTAAACTCAGAGTCAGTTACTATGGCAACTTACTCTGTGAACCTAACCTGGTTGGGAGCAGGTTTTGTTCGGGAAACCCAGAGTTTCCTCCGGTCTCCGCCCCTTTTTAAAGTGAAAGGTGTTTAAATAGGCCTACCTCATTTAATCTTTCAGTACATTCATAGATTGCACATGTTTCCGTCACGCAGAGACCAAAATGGC